AAGACCTATGAAACGTCCGTTCGCTTTAGGCACATTGTCTATATGTAGGTGTCACTATCGATACAAGTAACACCCACATCTACATACATTACACACCCACACTCACACTCCACACCCACATACCCGCACTCTCGAGTTTTAGGGTTCTTCGTCAAATTCTTAAAATTAAATTTCTCTAGAGATGGAAAAAATGGGTTTTTTATCGAAAAATAAGGAAAAAACCCAATTCTTTTGTGAAAAATCGGCCGAAGACACACAGTAAAATATCTTTAACTGATGATTAGCTGAAGACAATAATGTCGGGCTTGCATAATTGGCAGATCTTTAGTTAGGAATCTAGTGCACCCATGAAAATAAAAAATCCAAAACTTTTACGTCACGCAATGTCTTGTGTTTTTGAAACTTGTCGAGAAATCCTGGAAAAAATTGTCAGAAAAATCTGACACATACGATTCGATGCAGTTTCAATACCTCTTTCAAACAGTAACAACCGCAACTCTCTATCGAGTTTCTATCAAACGCTATTCAGAAAATATTCAGACTTTTCTTTTTTGAAATGGACATTAAATTCACTTTTACATTTCGGTGAAATCGTCATTCTTTTCAATTTGCTCGACAGATGATTGTCCTTGAAATAGAAGTGTCGCCCGATTTCTTCGTTCTTTGCTTGCTTAAAACAAATACACACGATGCGGCTTCAATATTTTCGTTTCACTTTTTTATGTGTATCATGTCACTGTATGGCTACTACTTTTTGGTTGAGTTTGCAGTAAAAGAATGAATAACATCATAGGTGATGATGGAATTTTGAGACTCCATTGCTGTCTTTTATTTTGTTGTATCGTGTGGCTAATCGTTCACCTATAGTAGAAGTACAGAAATATGGGTGTGAGTGTGGGTGTGGGTGTCGCTGTGAATGTGGAGTGTGGATGTGGGGTGTACGTGTGGGTGCAGGTCTTAGTGTGGTTGTTGGTATGGGTGTGTGGGAGCGGATGTTGAGGGTGTGGGTGTGGATGTAAAGTGAGCAACCAACATTCATTTTATCCATACCCACACCCACCCACTAGTGTCCTGCGGGAACAACTTTTTCCCTAGATTTTCCCATTCCCATTTAGACTTAGGGAATGGGAACGTAGTTAAAAATTGATGTTCCCAAAATTCCTTCTATCTTATTTTAATACAAATAAAAGCATTTCTATGTAATAGCTGTTTATTTTCAATAACTATTCTTATTCGGATACAATTAACAGAAAAATAACAAATGTGTATCAACAAGAAATAGACAAGTTGATTTATTCTTAACTAAATCGTAATTCAATCATCACAACTATTATTTCTTTTTCATCATCATCTTCATATACTTTCAAGTGAGCGTCCATCAACTGCACGGTACTCGACACATGCTTCTGTAATACGTTTTTGAACTAATAGACATTCTTTCAACGATGAAGGTTGTGAACAATAAGACGATATTGTTCTTTCTTGAAACGGAGTCGTTGGCACAGGTTTATTTTGTAAACAATTATGATGAGTCATAATTCTGGTTCTGTGATCTCTTGTCCATTTCAATACTGATTTACATTATAAACATATAATGTAATTTTGTGGGTTATTTTCATGATAAATCTGAGAAGGGTGTGGGTGTGGATGTGGATGCTGGTGTGGGCGTGGAGTGTGGGTGTCGGTGTGAGTGTGGATGTGAGCGTAGGTGTGGATGTGGATGTGTGGGAGTGAATTGGGTGTGGGTAAAGAGAATTATCGTATCCACACTCACATCCACACCCACACCCACACTCACACACTAGCCACATCCACACCCACACTCACACACTAGCCACATCCACACCCCCACACCAAAGTATTATCAAATGATCATTCGAATAAAGTGAAGGACATGAAATAGAGGACACAAAAAACAGAGACTAGTTACTTGATGATTGCTTGTTATCCGGGGACATTGCCAATGAATGAATGATCACTCTCATCTCTGTTCACTCTTATTTATACTAGTACACAACACTGTTGCATCATTATCTTCTTTCTTCTCTTTGTTTTCTATTCTTGATGGAACAAACAGTCTCGACAATATTGTTCAATACTTGTTCATCCTGCTGCATTCACTGCGTTCGAATGGGAGCAGAAAATCGATCAATCCCAAAACAGTATAGATAAACAACTGAATTAACTGCTATTCCATGTCTTACTGTTTACGATCCAACTTTTGATGACAATGTGAATGAACATACATGTCAACGATGTGCAATATAAGTTAAAAAAAATAAAGAATCACTGAGAAGATGCTTTATACTTAAAATAAGAAAATAATATTTATCTTTATATTTTATACATTTTGTTAGAATATTTGTCATTCTTATGTTTGACGACATTATAAACTATGAGTGATATTTGTTGTTATCTATCTACCAACGACAAAATTAACCCTACACTTGATTTTTGATCTAAAACATAGAGTTTATAGTTAGAAGAAATTTTCTTGGATATATATGAATAGTACAAGTATAGATGTTTATAATACAAATAAAAATCTAATATGAAGATACAAAGTGTTGATATATTTTCTGAGTCTTTTTAATACATGCTTGAATAACATTTCATGATAAATCATTTAAAGCTTCATCGACAGCATTCTCTAGTTTACGTTGTGATTTTGGATTCTTGGTTTTAATTTTTTGTTTGATAATGTTCCAGACTAATTCGACAGCATTAAAATCAGAACTATAACCTGGCCATTCACATAATTCAATATTATATTTGTCACACTATCGCTTGAATTGAGCACTTCTGTGGTATTTAACCCCATTAGAAATATACAGAAATTCATTTAATTTTCGTAAATTTTCTGATAACGCTTCATTAACTGTATCACAATATGTGTCACTATTTAATCAATTATCAAATCGGCGGAAGACATAACCATTCCACCAAATAAAGCCAATTAAATTCACATGTGCTCGCAAAGATGATATTTCTTTCTTGGGTGTTGATTCTCCTCGTTTACACCACAAAATCTGTTGTGTATTTCTTAAACCCACATAACATTCATCTTCAAAAATATACTTCTTGATATTAACAAGATAATGTATTGCAGCAAATTGATATCGTTTTTGTTCATTTCTGTTGTTGCCCTTGACTTTAACAAGAGACTTACGAGGGCAATTACCAAGAAATAAACGATAACGTTGTATCGTGCGTTCGGTAGTGTTGGAGTGTGTGAGTGATAATAATTCAGCGGCAGTAGCTGATCTGTTTTGTTGTATAGTTAGATCAAGTTGTTTAATTTGTGTTGAATCGAGTGCAGGTGGACGACCAGCAGTATATCTATCTGTATAATTTACATCATTATGGCGATGATAATAATCAATGACGCCGAATATTGTACTACGGTGACACTTGAAGGAATGTACTACTTTTGAGATATTTATAGAGCTTTTTTTCGCTCACAGATGATATACCAGCGTTGTTCTTCAGTTAGTCCATACATTTTCAATAGAATCATCGAGCAACGAAATAGGGGAGAAACACAAAATATACAAAAGTAAATATACAGTAACCGACCATTAACCAGATTTTTATTTGTATTATAAACATCTATATTTGCACTATTCATATATATCCAAGAAAATTTCTTCTAACTATAAACCAGAGATGTGCGGGGCATTGATTTTTCATGCCCCGCGGGGCCCGCTCCGTAGAATTCACAAATTCGCCCCGCCCGAGCCCCGTGGATATTCTTAATGAGAATCCCCGCCCCGCCTGTGCCCCGGCAAACCTATTCCCGGTCCGCCCGTACCCCGCACACCCAGCTTCTTGGACAGACCCGCCCGACCCGCCATTTTTGTGACGGGCCCCGACCCGTCCCGTGTAACCCGAAGAAATTTTTTATTTACCAAATACTTTATTTTTAATGATGCATTCCTTTTATGAATAATCATTTTTTACAAAAGCAAAACTCAAGTCTATATGAGATGGTTTTGAATGATTCACTTTGTGATTGTCGACAAGCACGTATTTTTCTGGTTGTTCTTTTAAAAACATTTTTATATTTGACGAATTACATTTAATATTACTCGATGAGCAATGACTGAAAGATGAAGAAATAATTGTAGATGAACGATCAGTATTCGACGAAACTGTCCTATCAAGTGATTCATCAGGAGATAAATCATGTAATTCGATCATACTTAGGTCTGACCAAAAGTTCTGGCAACATTATATAAAAATATAAAGATAAGTAGGCATCTTTAATTTTATTTTATCAAATATTGAGGACAGTTGACATGATTATTCATACCAAGTTCGATCCTTTGCAACAATTTGTTAAAAGTTTTTTTCGAAAAAATTTTTAGATATCGCATGGGCTTATCATGTTTCATTTATTTAATCAGTTAAACTACATTTAATAGAATTAGTTACCGAAAAGTTACATAGTATCAGGCCTGGCGAATATGATAGATATGATATCATATTGATGCCTTCTTCTGTCATGCAATTAATAATATTAGATGAGTATGAAGTCAACGATGACCGTCAATCAATTTTGTACATTTTGAACCTGATGTCTCTGTTTGTTTCCATATTTCATTAATAAAATGTTTTGGAGAGTTTTCAGTATAATACTTGTGACTTACAGTCTTGCCTTTATCTACATTCAGGAGTATTTGATTTAAAGAATATACCAAACAAAGCATTTTCTAAAATCTTTATTCATGAACAATAGTCTTTGACGATTCATCTTCAATAAGCCAGCCAGCATCGGATAACTTATGACTAACCTATCTAAAATAAATCTATATCTCATCACTAGCAGTACTAAAATGCAACTGATATGATCGAAGAAGATTTTGCTAACTTTTCACAATAAATGAAATATGATTAGCTCATGCGGTATCCATGATACCTAAAACTTTTTTCGAAAAAACTTCAAAAAACTTTTAACTAATCGTTGGAAAGGATCAAACTTGGTATAAATAATCATGGCAACTGTCCTCAAAATTTGATAAAATAAAATTAAAGATATCTCCTTATCTTTATATTTTTATATAATGTTGTCAGAACTTTTGGTCAGACCTAAGTAGTAATTCACAAAAAAATTCAAACGATAATTCTACATATAAAATAAGTTTTAGTCCAGTTATTCACTTAATATAAATTGATGGTAGAAGTTGCGTATGACAGACGATAAAGAAAGAAACAAACAAATGGTAGACAATCTTGTACATAATAGGATGAAAGTAATGAACCAATCAATATGTACTTTGTACTACATACCTATACTAAGGACATCCCGTGATAAGTTTTGACGATCTTTCATCACACCCGAAAAAAAATGTTTACCCGCCCGAACCCGTGTATTTCATACCCGCTCCGCCCGAGACCCGTGTCATTTAAAAAAATGATTCCCCGCCCCACCCGCCCGTGTGCCGGAAAATACCCGTGCCCCGTTAATCCCGCGTTTAATTAAATTTTTCTTCCCCGCCCGCCCGTCGCCACGTGGCCCCGCGGGGCCCGCGGGGTGAACCCCGTGGACCGCACATCTCTGCTATAAACTCTATATTTTAGATCAAAAACCAAATGTATGGTTAGTCTTGTCGTTGATAGTAAGTATATTTTTCTATGAATTTTATGATAATAAAAAGGTATTTCGATTGAAACAGTCTTTTAAAAAGCAAAGTTAGATTGACGATTTGAGTGCATGAAGATGCTGTGGATCTCTTTTGACGAAGACAGCATTCGGTTCGAATACAATCCAGTCACACATACCTGTTTCATGAAATCCCATTTTAGCCGCCAACCCGATTGATTTTCGATTATTTAAGGGGGGACTTCACCCCCTGAGCATATTAATTTTTTTCGGCCATTTTGTAGAGCAGTTGAAACTACATATACTCTGAAATTTTTTCAGCGAGCTGACTTGTTTTGATAGAGTTACAGCTT